TCGATATACATTTTCCTTTGTACATATTTTGCCTTTTTTAAAAATTTATTTTGAGTTCGAATTACGGTTTTGTTTAAACTTCGGTATTACCTTGTTGAGTTCATGCTCAAACCCAGATTATGTGCTCAAGCCCAATTTCTGGAACCAGTGGTAAATCAATATAGAAAATCCTATTTTGTCAATGATATGTAAGAAAATTTGAAAGTCTTGAAGCCCTTTACTGTTTTCAGTAACAACACTAGTCTTTTTGACCTAGTTACATGATAAAAGTAGGCTACAAAAAGGTCGGCTTGAGCACAGAAATCATGTTTGAGCGTGAGAGGTGTTTCATGAATACGGGCCCAGAGCACATGCCGGAATTGTCAAACAGATATTATTTGTACAGCACACATATTTGATAAGGGCTTATTTTTTTTATCCTATATCTTTAGGATGCTCTATACCACTGACAGTGGTCTTATAATTCCTTAGGTAAATACAGCAATAGTTTATAAAGATAGAGTGTGTACATAAAATTATGTAGATAAACTCTAGTTAACCCTATTTCCTCTTCGATCACACTACTGCGCGTGCTGGATATTGTACTCAAAATGTGATGGATAGGTGAGTATGGAGCGTTCCACTTATAAACAATTATATTATCGCATACATTATTTTGTTTCGAGACAAACATTTTGATAGTCGTTTAAGTCCCTAAAGTACATATCTACATAACGAAATCCAGGGAAAAGTCCCTTCTACTTCCTCCAAAAACCTTCGGTCACCACGGTTTAGTGTCATTTAGTTACATTTGACAGTGCTAGTTTATATTAGATTGTTTTCAATATCATGAACATAATTGATGATAATTAATAATGGATTTAGCTATGATCAACGGGACCTTATGTGAATTTGTATCGTATGTCCACACTGTGTTTAAAGGGACCGACAACTCAAATATCACTATTTCATGTTTGGGGATATTCCCGTCTGATTAATGTAAATGAGACCGATGGTTTTTGTTATCAATGGACTTAATTGACACTTTAAAAGTTGTCAACCAACGATAGATAACCAAATCACTACAATATGCATTTTGAAGGCTATCAGATACTTGCGAGTACATGAACCATTTTCACATGGTGTATTCTGATAGCATTTCTTGAATCTGACAATTGTGACATTCCTTTTTCGATGTGAGGACGTGCCCTTACTTAAATTTGACCTCGATTTAGTTGGTGTCTATATTGTCCAATAGAAATCCGTCTCCGTTGATCATGCAGTTAACGAAAATTCAGGACAGCAGTTCTTGTAGAAGAATCTGTAGTCACCCTGATTCCAAGTTAAGGTGAGTGTATACGATCGACGTTGTCAAAAAATAGCCAGATAATAACATGAAAAAATAAAATCTAATAAGAAAAGTTATCAATAATGACAAGCATTTGATAGTGTCGATTTAACCGTTCATCAATTACTCTATCCAGATATTCGGAAATTACATAACAAAATGAAACTGTATGTAAAAAGATACTTCAAAGGGTCAAATGTCTCGAATGCGCTGTACACATGATTCAGCAAAACCAAATACCTGTCACGCAGTGCTGATTTACCACGTCTCTGTTTAGTTCTGTTCACTTGTTCGATAAAAGCACGTCTATGTGTTGCGAAGAAGATTTCATCAAATGTAGCAATACATTGCCCTATGTTTACATACATTAAGAAAGAGTCTGAAGTATTCTTGGGAAAGTGCCTCGATTTTCTGTACAGAACGACTGCCTTAAGCTAGTTAATATAAACAGTGCATTGTCTGCTTTATATGAAGGTTCCAAACATCCGTCCCATTTCACAGATAGTGTAAGCAGTTTATAATTGTATAGGAATTTAAAGTGGGACAAGATCCGTTGTAAGATACATAATCATCACCTTTTCATTAGCACACTGCTGCTCGTCCACTTATCTGATGCAAAGCTACGTTTCTATACACACAGTCCTAATCACGAGAAAAACGAAAACAAAATGTCTTATCACTATGTCTAAGGTTGGGTAATAATCCGATTTCTTCTTCGATGGTTTGTTGCCCTAGGTCATGTTTTATACAAGTACACAATTATATGTAAAACATATACCATGACTGTTCAAAAACGAATAGAGTGAACTTTCTGTGGCTTCGATCGAATGGGGTTGAATGGCTTCAGTGTTGTTGAAGACTTGCTATAATTTCAGTAGAGGACTTCTGTTTGTACAGCACTTGATTTTTCTGTGAGTGTATGCGTACAATAGTAGTTATTTTCGTGTTAACGGAGAGGAGATAACTAGACATAACTGTGACACGTCTGTAGCTTTCTTTTTTGTTTTCGTTTTCTTCTTTGTTTTCATTAAAAATGAGTCTTCAACACGAGAAAATAAAAATGCCTAAATGTACAATTCTCGAAAACTTCCGCTTATACACACCATTGAATTGTATGTTAATATGTTTAGTTTAGTTAGAATGATTGATACTCATGTTTCGAATTTGTTTCATGTCCCTTTTATCCTAATACGATTAACATTAACGTCCAAAATACCTACATTGTCCCTTTATACATTTACGGGGGTTTATATGTGATATATCGATGCTTGTACATGATTAAATCAAAGATGAATATTATTTAAAGCATTAAGCAAACTTAACGATCAAATAGATACACCGGTAAATATAAATGCAGGTAAATCATGACACGACATATAGCTAACCGTTAATTAGGTAGATACATGAATTGATCGCATAGATAATGCTAGAGCTGAATCTTGTACGAATTAAACACAAGTATTGTGGCGGCGAGTTGCTAATTTTAAATTGTGTCATTTATTAGTGTTCCTCTTATCCTTGTGTTTGAATGTTTGATGGTTTATTTGGAATGATCAAAACTTCTTTGATAGATTATAATACTTACAGCAGAGGCATTGTTTACAATAGTGAGCCCTTTTTTTATTATAACAGTAGAGCTTAAAAACAGTCATATATATCCCAATATCATTCCCTTTAAGTAGTCGGCGTTCTATTAATATTTTCTCTCCTTTATTACCCCTTTTAAATCACCCATACCTGAGCGGGTTATCCGCTTCTCTTATATCATTGTGAAAACATAGCTTACCTAGATAAAGATAAAAGGTGTAACGTGATAAAGATATCAAATTGTGGCTTAGAATATCACTTTCGTCATATTGCAAATGTTTTTGATTTCAGAAAAGGATACCGTACGGTTGCTTAAAATAAAATGTTCTAATTTTAAATATTTAAAAAAGTCATCGTTTATCTGCATACATCTCGCGTATAATAATAATAAATTAGGTATCTGCTGGGGTGTTGACCCCCAGGAACATTAAATACTGCGTCCGAATTTCTAATGTCGATAAAAACGCCCTTTTCTTGAAAATCATGACAAAATATTGAAAAAGTCTGTTTTAATATAAACAGTAATACTGAATAACGTATCTTTTGTCTGAATCATTGAATGCTCCCCGGCCTGATGATATCGCGTATTATTATAACATAGCTGTCTGTCTTAGTGACACCTGATAGACAAACAATGTCGGGTGATCAAGACATCAACAGCTTACATCTGTGGAATTTATTTCGTGAAATTGTCTTTATCAATGGCAGAGGAAAATATTTAACATTTTTTTTACACGTCTCGTCCTCGTTTATACAGAACTCCATAAACCACCCTTTATAACTGTTAATTAAATATAATTACTATCAATTACATGTGCCTCTTCTATGGTCTATGTGCTTATGCTGGTTTATCAATTCACTATTAATAGGTCACTGTTTCATCTTTATTTTATTTTCATTTCTAATAATAATACAGCAGTGCTTTTGCATACTCAATTACACATATCATGTTCGGTTTAGTTATTTTCTAAATATTAAAGGTTTCTGACCCTGTTACATAATAGAGACGGTGAAACTTGATAAAGAATATGTTGACTTATTAATGAATCCTTTGACTTCTTTTTCTGTAAAATTAAATTGATTTGATAATGATCTAATTAAGAAATGTATTCATATGATTTGAAGACAAATGCCTAGATAAGTGTCGGAAGACGGAAAACCAAGATTTTTTTCTCTCACAAATTAATTTTATTAATTTGTTCTTGGCGTAGAAATAAATTACAATGTGAGACTATAAGACAGCTATCTGCATGGCTTGAAAGAGACGGAAACCGAAAATAAAAATGTGTCTGTTCAAAGAACTGATATCGGGAAAAATTATTGATCACAGTATAAATATCCTGCAAATTTCTATAAAGACTATAATGTATTAACAGTGTGCGCAATAAACAACCATACTAGCTATTGCGGCGTTATAACTGCTGCGCACGACAATGCCTCAAACCATCATAATCTATTAACATAGGAAGGGAAGAGACCGCAGGACGCAGATTGCGTTTGTTAACGGCGTGGTGGGAACTTTACAGATGAACTCTGGGAGTTTAATTACATATGGATTGTTATCATTGTTGACGTATTCGCAAACATGATGAAAACCGTTACAGAATATAACGCGAACCACCAGGGACTTGCTGTATAAAGCACAGAACAAGTATATGATTTGATAGCTATTAAGTGTGATTTTCGACCTAAATCATTAAGTACACGGTAAATAAATAGGATGGAGGACGCCTCTAGGGAAAAAAACTGTTGTAATAAACGGTGACCCTTATCAGCAGAAACCGGAAACAGTATAGTGTATTTACAGATACCAGTTATTCCACTAATTATTGGACATCGATGTCAAAGAGCTAAAAGAAACATCTAGAAGTGTATGTCATGGTCTCCATTGTTCGATTCGTTCCATTTAACTACACCTACACTGTGGTGAATCAGCAAATCATTTACTTCCGATTTATTTTCACGCGGAAGATATCTTGATTTCACACAAGGAGGAAACCTACCTGTAGAGGTTAAAGTTCAACTATAATAAGATCCTCGAGTAGGTTTGATATGTGTATATACATTAACAGTTCGTCAACACATACCCTCGAGCCACAGTAGTAGGTTTATATAGGGGACAATAATATTAGGAAGGAGGAATGGCCAGAGATAGGACTCCTTTCCTGCAATGGATAAAAATGAATAATAGGAAAAAGAAGAGAAACGACGATGACACAGATTCAAGCAGAGGTGACTTATCGTTGTTAGATGTAAACAGTCACGGGTTTGTAGACCGGGGCAGCTTCAACGGATCATGTCTCTCCCTAGACAGCGACACATGTGTTACCTTAGCCAAATTCGTATGTGTAAGTATGCAGTATGACTCACAGTTGGAAAAATAATTAAATGTCCTTTAATGTACACAATGCGTGCTCCATTTCTTTGGTTTATAGAGCATTTGGTTACTAGAACAGGAACCATATTCGCCGGTTTTTATAAAATGATTTAGTAGCGTCCGTTATTGTATAAAGTACAATGTGCATGGACATATGTATTTAAATGTTCTGCTTTGCAGCATGTTAATAAGTGTAACGGTCTATATGATGTTCATACCTAACACATAGAAATCTGTCATATAAGAACAGTATATAGGCTTTTCTCATCAAGAATGACATATGTTAGGGATATATTTATCAAAAAAATACTTGCTGCATACAATCATATGATAGCCAAGGTGTATACCGTGTAGTGATATTCTGTAGTCAATACCTGTTTAATTACTTATTGCGTATTTCATACAGCGAGCACATGGAGCATTGATCCATTCAATCGTATGCAGTTGGGGTTGTTTCATGATCGCTCAAGCAAGAATATACGATAAAACGATTTGGCTTTAGGGCACCTGGGGTTAACGTACTATTATACCTAATGGAGAAATTAATATTTAATGCAGCTTTTTCCATCTATTCATCTATTGTAACAAATTAAGTCTTTTGATACAGCAAAAAGTTGATATATTTTAAATAAATATTATTTTAAAATAAAGTTGCCAAGTGTTGTTAATGTCAAAAATAGCAAATCGTGACCAGTAATTTAATCAAAATGAAGATGTTAAAACAGTAACTGGCGTCTAGTCAGGGGCTATACGATGAGATGATAGTAATAGTTATCTTCAAAGGCTTCTCACGCCCAATATTTTGTATCCTCGTACCATCAAAAGTTCATTTAGTTTGCGTTCCTATCAAGTCACACTCAACATATACTAGTAGGGGGTGATTAACTCGCCTCATAGTTACATTTATACATTTCATGAATATTTATGGCGGTAGATATTCCGAGGAAAATACCGAAAAATAGAGCATTGATTGAACTGATATGCCATAAACACGAGAAAAGGGTTAGATAACATTATGGCAGAAGTATAATATCCTGAACCAAACAAAATCTATTACTTGGAAGAATATACAGCTATCTTCAGGTGTGGTTTAGCTAACCGATTATACCTCGAAGCTCGACACTCTGGTCCACTTCTTGTACCCTGCATGCTTACGCGAAAGACTCATATATAGCATTCTAGGACGAAACATGATCATAGTAAACTAGCTTCTGATTGACGGGCATTTTCATTTATATGATGTAAACTTCTACCATAATGGCGATATCGAATAATGAACAGTCTTAAAAGTGTTATTAGCTGAGTTGACTGTGGTTGATAACTTGATATACACAATTAAAATTCTTCAAGATGTTCACGATTATCATACTGTTTTATTTTTAGTATAAATGAACAGAAAAAGATAAAACAATTGCCTGTCAAATGTTATTCTCAGTGGCAAACAAGAAAGTCAATAATAATTGAAATAAATTAATAATTATTTAATTATGAATCAGATCGATGTTTAAGAAAAGACTATATGTAATAAAAGCTTTTTTTTTTTTTTTTTTTAATTTAAATCAGACAGATACCCTCCTTGTAACTGACGTAAACTATTTAGATTTTGAATACTATACAAATTAATAAAATGAAAAAATCAATAAAGGACATTTAGTATATCTGATAAGGAAACTCTAAAGCCTTGTATGTGATTCCTAACTGATTGATATCAATGTGTGCATTGATACAAATTAATGGTTATAGTACGCGGTTTGTTTGGAGAACTCTCCGCAGACCTGCTATAAAACATTTAGTATTTGCCTTTCTATTAAGTAACCATGCTCTAATAATAATAAAAAAATATTCTGGAACGAATAGCACGCCTTTCTACTAATTAGAACGGGCTACCTATTACTGGCTTTTTCACATTATGATGGTGATGTAGTTCACGTATCCTTGTTGTTATAAGAGTGTAAATAGATACCGCTGAAGCACGCCTATACATTTGACAAAGCCTTACAATCATATTTGTTTGAATTGCTGGTGCAATGATGACGATAGACTGACAATGTCAAGGAGTTAATGGGAATACATTACTGCTGCGATGGTTTGTCAATAAAACGTGCCGTTCTGTGTATGGGTTTGACGCACAGTAGCGGATGTCTATTCCGAGTAGTTTACACGGCGAGGAGATGGAAGATAATTATATAAATTGTTATCTAACACGACCTATTGAACACGGGTATTTTACCTGTAAGGCTATTATATCCTATAATGGCAAAGCCCAAAATAACTTTTATGTTTTCAGAATAAAAATTCCTCATGACATAGCATTATTTTGCATTCATCTGGTTTGCCTCAATATAATTTATCAGACCGTTGAACTGCGCAGTAGATGTAATAAACCTATCACTGCGGAGATAAGCCATAACGAAATTTAATCGTTTTGCTATGTGATCTATTGTTTCTTTTTTATGTGAATCTTATATATAATTTTCCCCAAAAGTGTGTATTCAAACAGTAACATAATCTCACCTGTCCACCTATCACTTTTAATTCATCACAAAATAATGATAATAGTGCAAGTGATGTCATAAAGTTTCAATTTTTGTTGCTTGTATGGAACTAATTGTGATAGGTAGACTAATGTGATTCTATTCTCGCTATAATTCGTATTTCTATGTCTGATGAAAGTGACTTTGATGTTCTGCGTGGTATGAATGCCAAGAACATAACATTAAGCAGAAAAAGACAGCGTCAATCTCTCCAGCTTTCGAACATTTAATGACATATTATTCATTGTTTTAGAAAAGATGTGTGATATTCCAGACAAGGTACTGATGTCCCAGTATTGATATATAAAATACGTTGTTGACATTTCTGTGGCTATGTCGATATACAGTCGTAATAATTCGTTTTATCTTTTTTGAAAGTATGTTAGCTTTTCGAAACTTAGTAGTAGTGGTCTTGTTCATGCCTTAAGTTTAAGCGTTGTTTTATAGCTAGGGGGTGGAGGACCAATTGATTCAATTACCTGAACTGGACCTTCAAAAGCACACATAATAAGCCCCTTTGGACACGTATATGTGTCTGTTTTATGATTTAATCTTTACTTTGATCTTTAGAATTTCGCCTTTGTAGCATGCTAAATTAAAAGCCATTTTATATTGTATATTACAGTTCGCCGCCAAGGGAAACCTCTCCGAGGTTCAGAGGCTTTACGAGGTAGATAGGAAGCGAATCTTTATACAGGACTGTCGTGGCTGGGCTGCCCTTCACCATGCTGCTGCCAATGGACACCTTAACGTGGTGGACTTTATCGTCACATCAGGGGCCGGTAGGTCGTCGTGTGAAATTAGATGTTAACCAACACGGAAAGCCATCCTTGCACTAACTAGATTTTAAAGTGAAAAAGATATCATGATAACATTTCTGGTTGGCCAAAATTTATTAATTTAATTATTACTAAATTTCATTCATTTGACTAGAGATCATTACGGGTTCTTAACGTAGTTTGTAAAATACTTACCCTTTTGTTTTGTATGTTTGTTTGCTTTGTTTTATTTCGGCGTCATCATGGTTTCTAACGTGAACTATTTAGATCAACATCGATGTTCTTTTTCAGAGATAAATTTACAGAACAAGAATGGCGACACTGCTCTCCATTTGGCAGTTGAGGGAGAGCACGCGGATGTCATTGGTTATCTGCTCAAGCAGAGCGCCAAGACAACCCTCCTTAACGAGGTGTTTATGGCTCCGATACATCTAGCGGTGGATGGAGGCAAAATAAAAGCATTAGAGGTAAGACGCCATTATAATAAATAATTAAATTATAATAAATACAATAAGGCATGCAAGTTCTCGTTACGGATTTCACCACCAACTCTCGTCAAAGTACTGGATTCCGAACCATTTTACTACGAACAAAGTTTTGCCCCAGCAAAATATATTCATTATAGAACAAAAAAGGAAGAAAGAATACCGAAGTGTAAAAAAAGCCTAACTCGAACTCAAAATCAATAAAACAACCTTGGAGATTCAAAATTGCAAAAGATGAAAAAATAAAAGGAGTAAAAGACTAGGTATTCCGTAAGGTTTAGCGCTTTCTGCTTCATCCATTGAGGACGCCGCACTCAAAATATGTTCAATCGATTTTTGCAAATAACAATAATGAATAGGCATACCCATGAAATAGACAATGAAATAAAAAAAATGAAGCATTTTAAATTAAACGCATTGTTTAAAGAACGAACACAGTTAATATAATTGCTAAAATATATACGTTGACAGTAAATCTTTCATTTATTTAATGTGAAATTATCAAAAAACACACATGGTTGAAACAGTTCATCGTTACGCTATAGATAAAGTAATAATTATTAAGATGCTACCTTTGTTTGAATTGGCAAATTTAAATGACTCAATTTGCAAACACCCGAAAATTTCAATGATAAATGTTTTTTTTTATATTTCTTCAGAGTCTGCTGAAATTTTCAACAGCTGATGTCATTCTGAAAGGAGAAGGGGGCTTTACCCCTCTCCATTATTGTGCCTCCAAAGACAGAGACGAATGTGCTAAGCTGTTGGTAAGGAAGTTCATAAGGTGGTTTAATTAAAGCTTTTTAATGACAGTGGTCAAAGGTGTGTTTGTTTGGTAAAAAGCACTCCGATTATATAAGACAGTAGTAGATGCATTTCTTACGATTTTGTCAATAATATCGCTAGGAATTTAATTTCATTGATTTTAATATAAATATATCAATTGGGTTGATTTTTTTCCAAAAAACGTTCACATTGTTGTAGTTCAAAATATAAATTACATTTGGACTGCAAGTTGGCTATATGAACTTATTGAGTTAAATTGCGGATTATTAATAAAAAAAAATGACATGTGTTTCTCTGTTGACGTAATATTTTGTCAATATGAACTTTGGTACCCCGATTAAGATAATCTAGACTAAAATTTTATATTAATGACAGATATTTTATTATTGATGTGACAATAGGTAGAGAACTATGATTTTTATAATTATAATTACTGTTCTTTACCAAGTGGCTTTCATTTACATGTATATATCTTTTTTTCATGAAGTCCATTTCGCTAATTGATAATGTTAATGATTTTATTAATTAATTTACTTTTCTTTGTTTGCTTGCTTACAGTTACAGTACGGCGCCAGACCGTGTATGACATGTTCCCACGGGTTTTATCCCATTCACGTGGCTGCTAAGTCTGCAGCAGCCAAAACTCTGGAGGTCTTAATTAAGCATGGTTGGTTGGCTTTTTCACTTTAAATATACTTATTATGTGTATTTTTTGTTTGAATTGTAAAGTGTTTTTGGTATGTCAATAAATAGTGCGGAGTTATAAAAGTTGTAAAAGCACGTTCTAATACGCTAGTTGCACTCAGATTAATGCAGTTGTAATGTTTTGGAATATAGCACAAATCACTGCAATATGTCCAATGCTGTCATTGCACTTGTAAGACATGCGAATTGATACTGTGTCAGGTCTGCTGTACTTACTTTAGTGTCAAATAAAAACATTGCATTTTGTATTCTTCATATTTTTTTACATTCTGTGTCCGTTAACTTCTCGTAATCCAATTTTACACAAATCTGCCATTACTAATCGTGTCCAAATTGCCCATAAGAACTTTACTTTTATAAAATATGCAATATTAAGTAACAGGGAAACATCGTTTGTTAAACGATTGCAATTTGAAACGCTGTCTATTTCAGTTGAGCATACATATGTATAAATGGACCTATGCTACCGACCCATGTGTTTAATGCTCCATGCCTCTTATCCAAATATTTCAGTTGAGAACTTGGGATACACAAGAGAACAAGTCCTATCGTTCACTGACAAGGCTAACAATATGCCCCTCCACGCAGCGGTCAATGGCGGCGACATAGAGGTACGTTACCTATGTTGTATATTGGAAATGAATACACTTAATAATTTGCTTTAGCGTTGTGTACCAATTATGTTGTTCCTTATCTTAGTACAGTAAGAGTTTTCAACGGTGTTTATTACTTTGATACATAAGATAAATAGAAAGACAAGTAAACTTACGAACGATGACATTTTAGTAATGATGCCCCGCCCGGGTGTTGTATGTGATTCCTTTCTTATTAAAAAAATCATGCTATTTTTGCAATATTATGACACAAGTGTTTTTATAAAACCCACTATAATGTTTCATCGAACAATCCGACAGCATCACAACTTCGCACCAAATCCAAAGCTTTGGAGTATTCTTGATTTTCATATTTAAAAAAAAATCATTCTGACGTCATCGGACTTTTTTAAAAAGAGTTTTAATTTATTTTATAAAAAAGCACAACTGGTAGATAAAGTTTGATATTGTTATATCATATAAGTTTAATATTGTAAAGCCATAAATAGTTTCTGCGTAAATCTAGCTGCTTGTTACAAGCTGAGGAAAAAAACTTAAAGATTTTGCTTTTTTTAGTCTAATTGTAAGGCCTTCGGCGTGTTCAATTAAGACACACAAGTCCTCCGTTGTTCGAGAATGTTTTATTCGTCATTCATGTCTCTCGGAAGAGAGAGCCTGTAAAATATATATTTACACAATAGTCACTTCTATTGATAATCTGTAATAATGTACAAAGATGGTAATCAATTGTTCATTATGAACTTAATAAATTGATATATATTATATATATTATACTAGAGTTTATGGTTAGTCTGTCTTACCAGGGCCTCCTCCGGGTGGTAAGTCCTTGGCAGATTATTGCTTCATCTAGCATGATCTGCTGTTCAGCTCGGAGTGACTGGGCAAGGGTTTGTGCTGTGTGAGGCAAAGTGGTTGCGCATGTAACGTTCATATAGAACGACCTGCATGCACAACCTCATGTATACGTTCTTTGTATGTATCTATAATGGAACGGCCATGCAGTTTTTATTTTAATATTTCAAAACGTTCTTGCAGGCAGTAAGGGTATGCATAGCTGCAGGGGCTGCCGTCGATGCACAACAGGTACGTGTGTTATGCTTATTAATTTATCAGGAACGAACATTTTACATATTCTATCTTAAAAAACTACCTTATGAGGTTGCTTTTGTTGTTTAGATTTGATTCTTATCAATAGTCTATTGTGTTATGTTAGCTGGATTCTTTTATAAAAAGCCTGTCTTTTGGAATAAATTATTTTACCTAATTACAAAAATTATTTGTTGAATCATTTATAGGAAGATAAATCGACTCCATTACATTTTGCGTGCGCTCAAGGCAGCGTCGAGTTGATCAAAATAATGCAAGAACTACAACCGACTCGCTTCTCTAGGGCATTGACCTCAAATGATGTATTAAAGATGACACCTCTTCACAGGGCAGCGCTGTTTAACCACGTCAACGTTGTAGAATATCTTCTCAAACAGGTGAGTCGGGGTAGGTTGGTTGACAATAATGCCATCGGCCTATTAACGTCTACAAAAGCGAAACGATCAGAAATCGAATTAAAATGCATGTTATTACATGAAATGTCTATATAAATGTCAAGGTGCCAAATTTACCAATTGATGTATGTTAAGTTAACCAACGTGTTGCCAGGGCACTGATAGAGACGAATAAAAAAGATATTCCGCAAGTTTTGGCTAATATTTTGATATTTTTCACGAGTGCGCAAACGTATTTGTTATTACTGAAGACACCATTAAATTTTCTGTTTATTACATTTTTAAAGCATAAAACATATTGAAAATATAGTGCATTAAAAATGGACGGAAAACAGGAGCATAATTATTAGCGCCTTATTCTAATGACGTCATGTTTGACAACAAGGCTGTGCGACATTTTGAATGGGATACTCTGCTATTTTCTGGTATGGTTGCTTATAAAAATGTTATTAATTGTATATTTATGTGAATACTTACGTGTGTACCAAACATTTACCATAGCAACCACTTATTCTACCGTTGCTTCATTTGAATCTGAACAAATATAGTAATTAATAGTAAAATAAAGTAGTTTATTTAAAATGACATTATGTTGTTACAGTGCCATTACAGATATTTATTAAAACTGATTTTGTTTTGTCATGATACTGATCTTGATTCGTTTTAAAACTGAGCAATTAATTGTTTTCAGGGTGCCGAAATAGATGCTCAGGATTCACAAGACAGAACGCCACTGCTGATCGCGGCGTCAAAGGGTTGCTGGAAGACGGTGCAATGTCTGATTGAAAACAATGTCAGTCTCGCAAAAACTGATCGTGAAAACAGAAACTTTCTACATCTCGCAATCAAATTTGGTGGACGTCTAAATGAATTCGGAGTTGAATTGCTTAAGGTACGCTAATAAGCTAATGTTGAGGGGTTCGATGTTTGAATATGCTTCTGTTATCTGTTAGGGTGACTGTTTTAAAAATGTAGACTACAGGACTTAGTAGGTTTAAGGTTGACAGTGTGATATTCAAATGTTGAGTTCTAAATGTAGTAGAAGCGTGCTTAAGATGAGAATTATTTGGCCGATGACAGTTTAGTGTGAACATTTTATTTCCCAATTCGAGTAATTCAGATTGTTTAAGACAAGTTTATGGTTCCCAGAGAAATGTTCTTTTTCTTTCTGCAACATGAAATTTTGTGTTCTTGATTATGGTTATAAGTGTGCACTGCTGTTTCGATGTTACAACACCAGTTCTCACTTTGAACTTGTGACAGTAACTTAGTTTTGACCTAGATTTACATGGCAAGTGACGGCGATTATTATCCTTGCACTTTTTTAAAAAGGTTCCCAAATAAATTTCCCCCTATTTTTGCCTAGTTTTGCTGATATTGAATTAGAATCACGGTTGTTTGACATTTAGGAAGTCTTTTTTGTTTTGTTTTGTTAATTAAGCATATGTTATATTCAGGATGTGAAAACTCTGTTGAACGAGAAGGATGATTTTGGCTGCACACCCCTCCACTACGCCTCTAGAGAAGGACATCTGGTGGCTATCGACGACCTCATTAATCTCGGGGCTCACATCAACCCAAAAAATAACGACAAACAATCTCCACTGCATTTTGCTGCCAGGTGAGTAGACATACATTTGTGTATTCAGAAACATGTGCTTCGTGTAAAAAAAAACCCCAATACTCTACTAATATTCTGCCCCCGTTCCGTCGATTTGAGTTCGAATTACGATCTGTTCACTATTTGGTATTCTCTTTTCTTTATCTTTTGTAAAGGTTTAGGGTACAGTATAAGTATTCTCTATAAACACTCTTCAACGATAAACAGCTCAGGTGTGTTCTGTTTACTGTGTCACAAAATCTTGTTTTCTTGTATTACCACACTGTGGTATATATAGTTCCAAACATCCCAAATATGTTTTGTAGGGTTTATAGTGGAAACAGGCACAATGTATATTACTGATCATTTTGGAAATTAAAATTCTTCTGAACACATAGTAAACAACACAGTTATCTGATCTGGAAAGGCAATGTTTGGAGTGTATATAAAGTCGTTAAAGTCGAGTCGTTGTGGTTGCCCTAATTGTTGATGTGAGAAGTGGTTGTAAATTATGATTTATGACACCGTGTCATTGATCTTTATTTCTAAATACTGTTGAACATTTCTTGTCCATAGTTAACAGTTGTATAATGGTACTTGACTTATCACACTTATCCACTCCACGTATTGCTATTAAATGTTACATTATTTATGATTAAATTGCCTCCTTTTATGTAGGTACGGTCGATACAACACCTGCAGAAGGCTGCTAGACAGTCCTCAAGGAGCCAACATAATTAACGAGACAGATGGCGAGGGATTATCTGCCCTCAACTTAGGGTCTTTAAACGGCCACACGAAGATAATCCACCTGTTGATGGAGAAAGGAGCATATGTCACTAGGTTAGATAATTCATAATAATATATCTTGCACAATGTAAGTATAAATTTCATTTTTCAAGAAAATGGAACAAAGACAGCATGTTGAATTATTTTAATATGCTAACAGAAGGATGATATACTTATCTCAATAAGAGAAGAAAAAAATCATAAAAAAATGAAAAAAAAAGAGAGTTGAATTTATTGGTGTAAAAAGGAGAAATAATTAGAATCAAAATTAGAATTAAAAGCTTCGATAATTCAAATATTTGATGGTTAAATTTTTGTTATGTAAATTCAAAAGCATGCAGTTTTTATAATTGATATTTTCTAATATAACACAGGGATCACGACGGAAATTCTCCACTTCACATGGCAGCATCAAACGGGTACACAAAGACAATTAAGATACTTCTCAGTGTGCATGCAAATCTTCTTGACGCAACAAACAAATACGGGGTAAGCTATCTAGAAAATAATATAACCAACACTAGCATAATGAAACATTAATTCCGTGATATTAATTCGTCAAGACAGGAATACGCAGTATTATTAACTAATAAGTACACATAAATAGACACTCTTGTGACCTGCTGTATTATTCTGTTGCTTGATCACACGACACAACGGACATGGATACCTCGCCCCGTAGATTTTGAGTTTTTCATCTGTTCTCTCTACTGCGGGGCACAAACTCGATCTCCTTCACTTAGTGTACATTTATGCTTTTTACTCCTACCCAATATTTCTTTTTCGGAAGTTTGCCTGGTAAGCCTGTTATCAGACGAATGTTATCGAGGGAAGAGTGAGGCTATCGTATTCAGTTTTTAACATTTCTATAAGCGATGTCATAATCTATGGATGCAGTCTTCATTTTCAATCGTGGAATTATTGAGGACACAACGCCCATGACAAACAAACATTGAATCCTATAATTTAACAGCTAACAATGACAGTGCCCGATTGTCGACGTTATCATATCATGATTGAATCGGAATGGGGCGCGACGAATACATAAATATGTAATGATTATTGCTGTCAACAAATTGCAAAATGATATATGAGCGTCAATTCTTTTTAACATGTTTCTTATCTATAATTGAAATTGAAATAAAATCTTAATGTGTTTTGTATATTTTGGTTTTAAGGAAACAGCCCTCCATGTTGCTTCTAAGGAAGGAAAAACATCAAGTGTAGATCTACTTCTGACGCTAGGTGCAAAAATGACCACAAATAAAGAAAAGAAGTCATTCTTTGACACCGCAATAGAAGCCCAGGACTCTGACGTGGCTCTGACAATCGTTCGACACGAAAGGTTTGCATTTAATGCATTTGGTATAAGTACTTGTATGTTCCCACAATCAAAAATTTAAATTTGGTACGAAAAAGATTTAATAAAGTACAACACTTTCTTACAATAAATAAAAAATATTTTGTTCCAATTTAAAGATTCGCTAAAATTAAATATTTACGTGGTAACTCTACCATTACTACCGAGAAACATGCTTTACAAGTGTTTTTTTTACATATATTATAGTATGACTTAACATTAATTGCACAGGTGGCGAGAAGCTATGAGTATATGTTCAGGAGAATCAGGAGGAGCGCTATCCTGTCCTATGTATGGGTTGATCCAGTATCTTCCTGACGTCTGCATGGTATTTCTTCATCCCGCTCCAGTTCCAATTCAATAAATATCTAAATAATGCGCATGATATTTAGTTATAAAGCGCTATGATATATATATATTTTATATATTGGAGATATTTCAAGAGGGAACGTGGTCACAATGTTGTTAAGACAAATGATTGAGAGAATATTGGCATAATTAAGAATTGTGAATTACTGACTATATACACTGTCTTTGAGTTTATAATGATTGCAAATAACTACATGTAGTATGGAACCTAGTCATATGACTATTCGATTTAATTATATACATATATTAACTTTGTGCAGGTCGTTCTGGACAGGTGTCTGACACAATCAAATGAAGATGAAAGAAAGAGCGGATTTTATGTGAGTATATATTGTTATAAAGGATAAGTGACACACTTTACAATTTAGATACAGTGTCTTTTGAATTATTCTTGAGATAACATGAAACGATTTCCCTATTCAACATGCAACAAAACAACGAAGAGCGAAGCAATTTCAAGTAAATATATTGATAAAGGGAGATAACCATGAGTTAATTTTGAAAAAGAAATCGTTTTATCAATCATACCAATGATTATCATTCATTGTTTGTCGATTTAATTAACAATTATGGTTAACAGAAGTTTAAACATAATTTGCGTAGTGGATCATATCCCATACCTACTGGTTTACATATAGCAGTTGGTTCGGTTTTCAAGGGCCTGCTCCAAGTATCATGACTTCAATAATAGGTTTCGACTGCTGACTGACAAGCTTAAAATTCAATGTTTGCATGTGGACAGTTTTACGGACGCCACCATATGCTACATGTATATGAAGATCGATGTTTCTGATTATGTTCATTAGTGTGCCTTTTTAGATTTCTTGTAATTATCCATAACATAACATCACATTTACTGTGATTTGACCATGATTTACATGGTAACAATCGTCAATGAAACAGATGACGCTAACCCTTTCGGGACACCTGGACCCGTATTCATGAAACCATTCTCATGCTCAAGCCGAATTTTTTGTTCCCGTTTAAAATTGATAAAAAAATACTTTGTCAATGATTTGGAAAACCATTGAAGAAACTTAAAGCCAAAAACAGTTTGTATTGTTTACATTCGACTTTTTGATCGTTTGACATGATTTAAGTGAGTTACAAGAAAGTTGGTATGAGCATGGTGCTCATGAATATGGGCCCTGGTCTTATTCTCCTTGTACTCTTTCAATGGTCTCTATGTAATTTGTTCCTATATTCACAATTTGCCCAAGCTTTACCTATTTTGAGTTCGAATAGCGTTTAATATTTCAGTACTCTCTTGTCGTTTTTTATCATTATACATAAAACACTAACAATCTTCATGTAACGATAATGTGTATCTTACTTTTACAGATAGAGTACGACTTCTCATACCTACAGGCTCCAATCGAGTACGTCAAGAAAATGCGAACTGATGACAAGGAAGTGTCTCCTCTGTTTTCTCTAAATGTAATTCATTTGACCAAGTTTATAAAAAAATACTAGTGTAATACTATATACGTACTTTTAAACAGAATTCTGATCTCCATAAGCATGTGTAAATATGTTCACATACGTTGATATTCAAAAATAATATCTAGTGTATAACAATATTTTTAAAGTTACTTATATTATCAACAATGTTCCATTCTATATCTCACATGAACTTCACCTGGACAAATATTTCCGTTCTGGATGTATAAGTTTTGAATTTCAAAAGATAATATGTAATATATAGATGTATATTATCCTTTAACATGTTGTAAAAGATCATTCTGGAATAAATGTTTATAAGTTATACTGGATTTGGTCTAGGAACGTTGTGTTAATAACCATATCTCTATTACAAGGCAATGGTCAAGTTTGGGCGTGTCCAGTGTCTGTCTCATTCCCTATGTAAGGCATTCCTATCCATGAAATGGTAAGCTTGATATAACTTTATATTCGCGTTAAAAGTCTTGATTTACATTTATGAATGTTGCTTTTCATTCAATTTACGGTTGTAATCATGCTGCAATTTCCATGCTTGAGAAATTTCTAAGTTTATAAGGTTGAAAATCTTGTGTCGTAGAATGTGTCAGTTATAACCCAGGAAAACCCTCCGAACACCTTATTTACCTCTGTTTTCAAAACGTTCAGGATGCTTTTCGTTTTGGTTTGGCGTTTACTCAGTTCATGTTTGTTCCTCTTTTGTATTGACTTTGAATTAATGTTTTGTTCTTGAATATTGATAATATGTACGATTCAATTTAAAAAAAAAAGTTTAATTATCAAACAATCTTTTCATAACGTTGAATTAAAACCAAGTTTGATAAATGTAACAACCCTTTCTGACCCTACAGGAGAGCGTACGGACTGTGGTTCCACAGCACCAACCTAGTCTTGTATCTGATATATCTCGGACTGCTGACCACGTTAGTGACCACAACAACCCTGTGGTACCCCTCGAACGATAATGACCAAAACAGCACCAATGAAAGTTCAACCGACTACAATTCACATAAGATAGAGGTATGATAGAACACTGATGTATATAGAATACAAACAAATGAATTGGAGACCGTGTGCCAGGTTTTGATGTGTGCATAAGGTAATGTTGCCCCCCCCCCCCCACCCACCCCTCTCTTCCTTCACCTGAACTCTCAACAATTTAAACCAATTGAATTTCTTCTTAGTCCCCAACTATTAATACCAATACCACCTCCACATTACGTACAATAGTTAAAACTCGTACTCCTCACCTTAACTAACAACAAATAACACAAACATCTACTCAACTAACCAAATCCAATTAACGCCAACTTTACCCAATATGAACCTTCAAAAACAATCATTATTTTACATGGAGCAGAAAATACCAAGGACGTGAGAGGAGAATTGCCTTTTTGTATTTTTTGTCGGTATTATTGCCTTTCCGGCAAATATCAGTTTTAATAATTGAATGCTTCCTAGTCATCAGTCATTATGTTCACTCAATCAGTTTGTATTTTGGAATCCAAAACCACCTTGGTTTCCTGTAACTGCACGAGATGATTCTGAAAAGTGTTACCCTATTTTACAAATTTGCTTATGTTTTGTACTGTTGGTAACAAATTATCAATGACACTTGAAGCCATGCATGTGGTTTTCAGTGATTTTTACACTACATGTTATTGCTCAACTAGTTAAACATAACATTTCTTTCCTCCAGATACACATGGCCCAAAATATGTGCGTGTATATAGTAGTGGTATTCACCAGTCTCAACATATTTAAAGAGATCGCCCAGATGTACCAACAGGTAAGTGGACTGCAAAAACGTTTTCAATGTGTACATTGTATGTAGATTGAAAAAAAAATATGAAAATATAGTTTTTCTCCCACCTTAAGAAATATTAATTTTATGTTTTACATTCTTACGGTCCCTCAACACAGAAAAAAAATGTCATTAGAATCAATAAATTGTTGATTCCATCTCAAATAAAAGTCAAGTATGTCTTGCTTGTGATATGGAATACATTGAGTGTTGATTTTGTTGTTTGTAGCGGATGAAGTATTTCACAGACTTAGGCAATGCTTTGGAGTGGGTTCTGTACATCACGACCGCTGTGTTCGTCGTACCAATGGTGACAGGGGTTACGTACAAATTCCAAGTTGAGGCTGGGGCCATCGCAATTTTCTTGGCTTGGTTTAACTGCTTGCTCTTCCTTCAACGGTACAAAATTGATTTAAGCATGTTAAAAAATATAGAAACATGACTTTTTTTAAACTTGTAACTAAGTTATGATTAATTATGAAAAGAATTGTTTACAGAAATAATAGAAATAAAGTAGTAAAGATCTACTTATCATAAACATTATTTTCAATCATTGTAAAGAGATAGGTATATTTGAGTTATGGAGAGAAGGGAGGTAATTCAATTAAATGTGACGGGTATCTCTGCTATCATTTAAACTGATATAAATTCATGTGAGGTGTTATCCTGCAAAATCATCAATTTTCGTGGGACGTTAAATTTCGTTTATTTCGTGGATAACAAAAATCCACGATATTAAATCCCCACGAAAATATAAATCTGGTATGATATTGATAGGGGAAAATCAGAAATCAGCGAAATATAATGTCTTTGAAACAGGCTAGTATATGAAAACCACGAAATTTTAACCCCACGAAAATAAATGATTCTACAGTAATATTGCTCCTTTGACTTTACCAAAATATCAAAGCTATTTTTATATGCATTAATATTTTAACGTGGATATCTTAGTTTAGAAACGTCTAGTTGAGAGTGTTGTCTGAGCTGTTTTGTTTTCGCTGTAGGTTTGACGTATTTGGGATTTATGTGGTGATGTTCCTAGAGATCCTTTCCACACTAATACAAGCTCTCAGTGTCTTCTCCTTACTCATCGTGGCGTTCGGATTCGCATTCTTCCTTCTCATGAAATCAGAGGTAAATACGTCTAGTAATTAATTTCCCACTTTTGCCGTATAAGAAGAAATTCAAACTTTAAACTGAATACATAATCATTAATTACTCTGAAAATGTATTTAAATACCACCAAGAAATGATATAAAAGAAAGTGTTACTAATTTTTTTTTGTGAAATTGCATATAAACCTATCTCTTTCTTATTACATATATCTGAATTACTTATTTTACTTGTTTGAAATTAATGCGTGACATTTAAGTTATGTTGACAAAGTAATAAAAGTTAAAGTCATATTGTTGTTATGATATATAAATGAGTTTATGACTTTTTCGTGCGTAGTCTAGCACTGAGCTATTCATAGTAGAACACGTTTATAAATCCGGAATGAACGTGTCATTAGGGTTACAAATAACTGGACTATCGAAGTATTATTACACACGTTTTTATAAATAATTACTTTTACTAGGCGACACATGCCTACACGAGTCCCGGGATGGCCATCCTTCGGTCAGGAATGATGATGTTGGAGCTGGATTACATGGCGTCCTTTAACGATCCACTTACAGACGGAGACAAAACCACCCTGGGCTTTGGGGGTCTGACGATTTTCTTTTTGATAATGTTTGTCATCCTTATGCCGATTCTCCTCATCAATCTGTTGGTAAGTGTTAAGCAATACGTATACATTCATAAAAATGACGTTTGTTGTCATTGGAGATTATACATAGAAGACTAGAAAACAATACAACTAAAAGAGAACACCTAACCATTGATCGTTAATAAGTTACATTTTCCCGACCGAATAAATTGTCATGGATTATAACAACTGAACGTCAACCGCATAGAGCTTGGATGGAAAACATATAAGTATGAAATTAATAATATCTAGTTATTTCCCAACAGTACATTAACGATAATAGCGTTGAAAGCTGATCCCATATAAGTACATATAATACCCAAAGTATATAAATTCAGGAATGGTGAGACTTGCATTGGAGTCGGTGTACATTATTGTATGTCAAAGGGAGACAACCGTGTTGTGCCTACACATTTCGTTAGATTGCGTTTGCTGTAGACTTGAAATGTGAAATATATAAATACTTTCATTGAACAGGTAAACTGTTGATTTTTGTCACTTGTTATTTTATAATACAATTGTCTTGATTCACAGATTGGTCTCGCAGTTGGGGACATAGAGTCGGTTCAGAGTAACGCCACTCTGAAGCGTTTAGCTATGCAGGTATGACAATATAACCACGCAATAAAGCTTATACAAGTTAAATTATTTTAACAGATTAAAGAAAGCATTATTAAACACACTTCATTAACGTGTTCAACCCCGTCGGGTACACCCAACACTGGCATTGGGAATAGTCTGTTACTATAATACACCGAAAGAATAAAAAAATAAAAAAATAAATAAATTGATAAGCAATTTTCAGCAGAATTGAAAAAGTGTAAGAAAGTGAGGAATATGTCAAACACGATAAGAAAATAAGAAAAGACAACAGCAGTAAAAAAAGAAAACATCAAGATAAAATTATAAACATCAGGAATGTGTAGGAAATTAAAAGTAAGAGCATGTTTGTATATTGAAATTTTTTGTATGTAAAGTGTCTTAATGTTGTTTTCCATTGATATTAGGTGGAGTTACATACGGACCTGGAAAGGAGGTTGCCGAAGTGGTTATTGCTAAAGGTGGACAAGGTCCAGTACCGTTACTTCCCGAACAGGTGTGGTCAAGGCATGAAGTCGGTAAGTACGACACAAAGTGTAGTGTACAAGGTCCAGTACCGTTACTACTCGAACAAGTGTGGTCAAGGCATGAAGTCAGTAAGTAGTACGACACAAACTGTAGTGGACAAGGTCCAGTACCGTTACTACCCGAACAAGTGTGGTCAAGGCATGAAGTCGGTAAGTACGACACAAAGTGTAGTGGACAAGGTCCAGTACCGTTACTACCCGAACAAGTGTGGTCAAGGCATGAAGTCGATAAGTACGACAATACTGTATATGGCTTGGTTTGTTAAAAAGATAAAAAAAATCTTTATGAGAAATATTACATCAGATTGATCGAAAAAACCCACCGATAAATTATCTTTTTATAATCTTTGTCTTTGATATACTTCCAATATAGTTTACTGTGCATTAGGGTTGTGCCCACATACCAATTATAGACCAATTGGTAACAGTGTCCTCAAAGTGAACACGACCTAGCTGTCTCTTTCAGAAGACAGGACTGATGAAGAAATAACAATTTTTGTATGCGATATGAAAGACGAATTGTTTAAATCGAAATATAGGCTATCAGAGCTCCCTTCTACTAAAATATCAGTAAAGCATAGGTGGTGGGCACGTCTATCAAAAAAAAAAAAAAAAA